TGTAGTAAATCGGCTTCTGTCGGTGCTCATGCTCACGGATAAGTACTCCGCTTACTGCAAATTCTGAAACTGCCAGGTATAGGAACAGCATCTCCCCCTGGATGGGGACGGATAGGGTTGGAAGAGTCCTCAGGTATTCTTTGATCCCAGCCAGGGCGTCCTCGCACCCCTGGCTCCACATACTCTTCCCAGCACATTTGATTGCTCCAAAGAAGGGTTTGCATTTATCCGAGGAGCGTGAGACGAATCGGTTAAGTGCAGCCAGCATCCCTGTGAGTTTCTGGACTTCTCGGACAGTGCGAGGGCTTCGGATATCCAGGATTGCTTTAATCTGATCTGGGTTGGCTTCGATTCCCCGATGACTAACCAGATACCCGAGGAATTTTCCCGACTCCACTCCGAAGACGCACTTTGCTGCATTTAGCTTCAACCCATACTCCCTGAGAGTGGAGAAGGTATCCGCCAAATCTGTAAGATGATCACCACTCCGTTTGCTTTTTACCAGCATGTCGTCTATGTAGACCTCCATGGTGTTGCCGATCTGCCTCTTGAACATCCGATTCATCAATCTTTGGTATGTTGCCCCGGCGTTCTTCAATCCAAATGGCATCACTTTATAACAATAAACTCCCTTCGGAGTGATAAACGCCGTTTTTTCTTGGTCCGGGGCATAAAGAGGGATCTGATGATATCCCGCTCGAGCATCCAGGAAGTCCATTCGTTCATATCCGGCTGTGGCATCTACCAGCTGGTCCACCTTCGGCAGGGGGTAGTCGTCCTTGGGACATGCCTTGTTTAGATCTGTGAAATCCACGCAGACACGCCATTTCCCCCCTTTCTTTTTTGCACATACTGTATTGGACAGCCATTCTGGGAACTGTATCTCTCGAATGGCGCCAGCTCTCAGGAGTTTGTCTATTTCCTCATTGACCGCGTTGGTGTGATGCGGGGCCATACGTCGTGGCCTTTGCTTTACTGGCTTGTGAGATGGGTCAACATGCAGCCTGTGAGTAATTATTTCGGGGTCTACTCCTGTCATTTCCATTTCGTTCCAGGCGAACACGTCTGTATTCCCTCTTAAGAACCTGATCATCTCCTCCTGTTCGGCTGCGGGCATCGAGGTCCCAACTAGGAAATACTTCTCTTCTTCTCCTTCTACCAAGGGCACCTTCCGGAGGTCTTCAACCGACCGTTCCGCTGGGTCTACCCGGGGGTCATCCATCCCCGGACGCCCGGACTGTAATTGCTATTTTTCTATGATCTCTTCCGGTGCTCGCCCCTTCTCCTGGCCGGACGCCCCGGCTCGGACGGCCGAATAAAAACAGTTCTTCGCAGACGCTTGATCTCCCCGGATCTCCATGACGCCCTCTGGCGTGGCGAACTTCAACTTTTGGTGGAGAGTGGAGTGTACCGCTCCCAAAGCGTGTAGCCATGTTCGACCCATAATCACGTTGTAAGGGGAGTCCGTGTCGATCACCACAAACTCTGTGTCGATGACGAAGGGACCAGTGGCGACCGGTAATGTAATTTTCCCCACGGGCAAGGCGAAAGAGCCGTTGAACCCGATGAGGGGTGTCCTGATTTTGGTCAAGTCTTTGGGGCCAAAACCCATCCGCTTCAAAGTCTCGAAGTACATCACCTCCGAGGAACTCCCTGAATCAATCAAGATTCTCTTGACATCGAATTTCCCTATCTTCAGGGTTAAGACAAGGGCGTCGTTATGAGGAATCACCACGCCCGTCAAATCCGCGTCAGAGAACATAATGCCAAGCTCACCCATCCTGGCCCTTTTGCTTGATGGCCCCACACCTCCTTCGGCTACCTTTCTGGTAAAAGCTACCCTCTTGAGGTCGGATTCGAGCTCTTTGGACGTGGGGCGCTCCAGTGGACACACATGGATGACGTCTATGACGTTGTTTGGTTCCTCGGTCGGGGCATGAGCTCGTTTCTCTTCTGGCCTGGGCTCTATGTATTCTTTCAGATATCCATCTCGGACTAAGCTCTCCAAGAATGACTTGAACACCCTGCAGCTCTCGGTGCGATGCCCGACATCCCGGTGATATGAGCATCTTACTGTTTGATCACGGGTGGAGAGGTCGCTTTGCATCCTGGGCGGCCATTTGAAAAACGGTTCATGTTTGATTTTATGGAGCAACCTGAAGATGGGTTCCTTGAAGACGGTGTGAACTCCTCTGGACGAACCCCCTGGACGGGGTAGCAATCCCTTCCGGGGAATATCTTCGTGCTCTTTTTCCTTTCTCTTGGGTTGGAGGGCTCGGCCTTTGTTGCCCCCCATCTCGTCCTCGACCCTTGAGTACTTGTTGATTCGGGCCATCAGTTCCCCCATATCCGAGGGAGTCTTTTTGGTCAGGGATCGGTACAGGTCCGTGTCCCTGGCCAAGCCGAGCCGGAATGATGCTGCTGCCATGACCTCCGAGCATCCCTCGACCTCATTGACTTCTTCCCAGTATCGGATGGCGTACTGGCGAAGAGTCTCGGATTCCCTCCTCCTGAGGGTCAGCAGTGATCCAATGTCCTTTGGGCGCTTACTCCCCGTAATGAATCGGGTTAGGAACTGCCTTGTCAATTCTTTCCAGGACCCAATACTGTTTGGGGGAAGCGCCTCGAACCACCTCATCGCGGAGTCCCCCAAGCTCATAGGGAATACCCGGCATAGAAACCGTTGGTCCGAATGATAGAGGGACATCATCTGCTTATACTGTCTGATATGGGCGTCGGGATCAGATCGCCCGTCATAGGTCTTGAACCGTGGCACGACGAACTTTCTTGAGACGTCCATCTCGCTGATTTCCCTCGTGAAGGGTGTTTGCATGACTTCGTCCTCGGCCTCGTCCTGGATCATCTTGCCCTTTCTCCTGGAGTCTAATCGGGCTCTGAGATCTACTTCTTCCCTTGCGGGATGCCTCCTGAAGTCTCTGGGTTCGTCGGTAAGCCCCTCGTTTCCTGGGCGTCGTGTAGATTGGGTTGAGTCCTCCTCGGATTCATCTCCCTTCCTCCGTCTGGATAAACCTCGCCGGAGGTCGTCCAGGGCCAATGGCCTTGCTTTCCTGGAATGGTTGTCAAGATGGCATTCGCCGGCCTTGGGTCGCTTCGGGGCCCTGGAGCTTTCTGCTTTGTGATCCAGGTGGTTCCTTAGATCTTTTGTCTCCGCCTCATGGACGGGGAGTCCTCGGGAGAGGAATGAATCCCTCGACCCTCCGCCTGAGGCAGCAAACTCGTCGAGCCGGCTAAGGACGTTTACATTGTCCTTCTCCAGCTGACGTAATCTATCGCCAAATTTCTCTTCAATCACCTCTGCCAGCTGACGGGCCAAGGGGGCTGATCCTCCTGACCTGATACCCATACTGGTTTGAGGGGTTACCCCCCTTGACCGAGTAGAGGCACTTTTAATCGTACTGGTGCGATCCCTCCCTCCGTGATGGCAGGGAGCTTGCAACTCATGACTCCGTTGGTGGGGTCCTTTCCCTTTCTGTCTGGTGTTCACCATGGTCACTGTTCTTTTATAGAGAAAAGATTAGGAAAACTACTCGTTTCCCACAGACGGCGCCAGATTGTGCGGGCTTGATCCTGCACGATATATATGAAATATTGGGAACATATCTCTCCCCTGGTGAACTTTGGGTGAGTCGATTGAGTGGCCAAACACACTGCTCGAAACAGCTTACGATCCTGGGAAATGAGGAACGATCCTGTACGTGGGAAAGGTATTTCCTGGGACAAAAGAGAACAAGTTAGAAGGGCGCCGGAGTGTTTTCCGGCGTATCCCCTCCGACGGTCTAGTCAGTCTTTGAATGAGAGAGAGGAAGGAGAAAACACTGAGAAGGATATTTCGTAGTAGAGAGTTTGTGATTGCATACCCCTTTGCCTTTTTTTGGGAGGGGTATTTATACCTTAGAAGCTCATGATTGCTGTCAGTGTGGTCAGTAGGTGATCATCAGGCACTGGTAGCGTGTGTATTGATTTGACGAGGAATGTCTTCTCTAATTGACTGCTCGGGGTCCCGAGCAATCAATGGTGAGTTGTCGGGACGCCGACGGTACAATACGCTCCTTTCGGGAAGGATGCAATAAATGCTCTGTAATAGGAGCATTTATTGCCTTTCATATCCGAACCTTACCGCATTAAATGCGGTCTCGTCAACAGAAGGGTGTAATTAATTGTTTGCTTTCCCAAGTCGCGTGCCAGCAGCGGCATGCGGTTTGTCTGCTTCGGATGTGACATTATTTGCCACACGTCCATCCCTTATTGGCTGTTACGTCGGTATTCCAGCACGCTCTGACATTACTTGTGTAAGAAGAGGTCATGATGACTAGTCCATACTGGCATAGGCTGATGTCCAGTTTGTCAGTAGCTTTATCCGGGAGTAGGGGAAGCGTCCAGGATGGAGTGACCCTCGGCGCCGAGGAAAGACTCACCTCGGGGGACCAAGGGGTGGTGTGTTCCCGAGGTACATGGTGACCGAGGACACATGTCATTGTATACTGTACCGAATATGTGATCCTATATGAGAGGTACCTCGGGGAGAGGACGCTTTTGCCGATGGTGCTTGAACCCGAGCATCATTGTTTCTAGAAACCCCCGAGGACACGTGTCTTCATCATAGGCTTTTTCAGAAGAGTCCCATCACAAAGCATAGATGCAATAGTCATTTTTGAAGGCTGCCCGACAGCTTAGTAACTGCAAAATTTGTCAAGTTTCGCTCTTCCCACTTGATGACAGAGGATAACGGGGGTTCAGGGCTGTTCCCCTGATATTTGGTTGCGACAGTCAAGATGGTTTTGGCGACAACAACGGTGTTGGTGGTAAGGTAGTGGTATGTTGGTGATGGTGGTGGTTGGTGTGGGGTAGCGTTTCGTGTTGGGTGGGAGTGGGGTATGAAACATACCAAATAATTCTTAGGTTGAAAAATTGAACATTCAACAGTCTCTAGTGTTCAATTTTCGGTTTTAGCAAAGAGTACCATTGTCATGCTCATATTACAACATTGGCGTGTCGAGTTGTGTAACTATCGCTAGGCTCATCGCAATGCAAGGCACGACTGACGGGTGTGATAGGCACGCCCGCCAACAAATACTCCTGCTGCTGCCCATGGTGCACCATACCTCCCTAACCTGTCTAGCCAGTAACAAAGGCTACCAAAAGCCTTTAGCATGAATTAATTTCCACTAAATAAAGATTCTGTATTGTTCATTTATATAGCAAAGTTTCAATTAGTTTACAAGATAAGCATGAAAACCAAACTAAATTCCACAAGTATAGACTCAAAGAAACAGCTAATAACAACTTTTTAAGTGGTTCCAGCATCTTATAAGGCATCTATTCTGTGTTTCTTCAAGCATTTTTACACTGCTTCCACTTTCAGTGTGAAGTGTAAACATCAACAACCAAATCCAAATAAGGTTTAGAGAGTAGGACAATATGAGAACTAGAAAGTAGGACAACCATCCACTGATATACCCTTGGCTGTGGGGCAACTTGCAAAATCACAATGCTCAGGATCATCAGTACCCCACCACTTTACATTTCTGTCCTCCATCCCCACAGTGAAGTAAAGAAAAACCGCCATGAAAGCCACCCCAGCATCCAGAGCTGCCGAAAGAATATAGTTATACCTCTGCCACCATTTCTTCCGGTACCTGAAGACGAAGAAGTTGAATATTGTCCCAACCAAAATCCATGAATTATAGTTCAATGCTGTTGCTGGTGGCATATAGGCAGTTGCTCCAAGTAGTACTGGAAGGTTAATGAGGGGAATCCAGGATTGCTTTGGGAATGCCTTGTGTGCCAGCCACACTACAATTGGTCCTAATATTCCACCAAGGAAGAACCAGTTGAGAGCAGGGTAGTTGCCATAAGGGCCGAAAATCCGCCTGGGACCAACCAAGCCCCAGATGACAGATGCATCAAAGAAGACACGGTCACTGGGGCATGTCCAAGGGCTGTTTGATGGAAGCTTATCCTTCTGGCATATGTTGTCAATTGAGTCCAACAGCCACCATCCAACACTGAGATTGATTGTTCCTGCTATGATGGTTCCTAGAAACTGAAATGCAAATGCAAGAATTAGACCAAGAAGCTAGAGTGCGATTAATAAACATTGGTCATGAAGTTCAATCTCAATATTTCCAAAACACTGTGATGTTTTGTGCAAAAATGTCCGATTATGTCTTGAAAGCTTGGGTTTTATCTTTTTTCTTTTCCTTTTTGTTTTGCAGCCATCAAGTAAACTTCACAATGGTAATTTGTTACGCTGTGAGATTATCTGAATCACTCATTCTATGACTGGATCAAACTTGGGCCTTAATTAGTATACATCTCAGAAACTGTTTTTTTTTTTTTTTTTTTCTGGAAACAATTTCTAGAAGAAAAATTGTTTGCACTGTTGTTTTTGGTTTTTGTTTTTTGAAACTGAGAACAAAAACTGAGTAGATTTAGAGTACAAATTAGAACGGTTTGTATATTTTTGGAAACAACCTTTCCATAATTTAGAAAGCATCACTACCACCACCACCACGACGTTCAGCACACTTCAACCACCACCACCACCACCACAATTACGCTTTGATCGCCACCATCACACTCCACCACACTTCCCCCACACTTCCACCACCAACACAGTCACCACGTCCCCCACACAAAACGCCACTAACAACACGTCCACACTTCCACCATCACACTCTCACCACCATGTCCATCACACCACCATCACTATGTTTATGTTTTTATCGTTTTTTGTGTTACTGTTCAAACAAGTTTTAATATTTTCTATTTCGTAGAATCGTTTTTGAAATCATATAACCAAACAAGTTTTGCGATAAAAAAACACTAAAAACAGTTTTCTAAAACTCTTTCCAAAATCAATTTTTTAAGACGCAAACCAAATAGGCCTAGTTTTTTTAAGATTTTGGACGGTGACACGATTTTTCAAGATTTTTTAGACTTAATAAGTTTGAGGTTACAACAGAGAAGCAGGATCTTACCTGAACCAAGAACATTGACCTTGGAGGGATCTTCATGTAATGGCCTAACTTGAAATCACTGAGAAAGGAGATTGCTTGAGTCATGCTCATATAGCCGTAAGTCTTAAAGCAGACATTGGCTATTGGTTTTCCAGGATATATTAGACCCATTATGTATTCTGTGATGATATTAAGCCCCGGAGTCTGCAAAGAAAGCATTAGAACATTGATTTATAAGAGCGTTACTTCGGTGATTAACAGGGCTACTAGTATCTGAGACAAAGTTGAAATAAACAGTAATTGAACCCAACTGAACTTACGTAAAAACTTTCATTATAATTGAGTCGGTGTTAATTCAAGTACTTTCTCATCTCACATATTGAGAGAGAGAGAGAGAGAGAGCAGATAACCTTTGAGTTTTGTGAAATTACCTGATTTGTGGTGGCAGTAATAATGCTTATGGGAAGGGTAAATATGAAAGCAAGGGCAGCTGCAAATAGAAGTCCCCAGTATGGCATCTGAACCTGTTTTTTAAAGAAGATGCAGAGTGCAAGTGAAACCAACATTGTCACTGCAAGAAGCAAGTAAAACCACCAGGCAGGTATGTCTTCGTAATTCTTCATCAGTCTTGTGTGAATGTCCTCCTTTCCCTTAGAAGAAGCTCGGTATCGGTCATAAATCTCCCTATAACATTAAGAATTCTTAATGTTATACAGATTAAGAAAAAAAGCTAAGAAACAAATGGAAGTCAAGTGATCTATCCATCATAGTAAAGTCACTTATGAACAAAGAGAATGGTTTAGTGCTGACTGCTGAGTGATGAACAATAAGAATGATTTCGTGCATAAGAACTTGTTGGAGATCATATACTTGCGGATTTAACAAAAGATCAGCGAGCTTTTGTGACATTTAGTGAAGGTCAAACTGAGCTTTTAAAAAAAATTTGAAGATTGAAAAGTTTTAGACCGTTGGTGATAATTTTTTAGAATTTTAAAGATTTAGCAGGAGATTAAGACTAATCCTTCGTTGGAAGGAATCTAAGTAGTAGAATGTATAATAACAATAAAAAAAAAAAGGCTAAGCCGATGTTAAGGAAGGATTGACTCTCACAGGATGAACAAGACATTATTCAGCTGCAAGGTTATTACCATATAAGATTACTAGAAAACCAGAAAAGAGCCCTCGTTTCAAAGATTCGGGATCATGTTGGAGAAATCTATCATTTCTGGAGGAAGGGTAAGTAGAAAATCTGGTGAATTAGAAAACTTTAGAAATCAAACTACTAAGTTATATTTCTGATTTTCATAACTGACCTGAACTAGTTGTCGGAAAGAAATAAAAGATTCATAAAACTAGTGACATACTACATTTGAGATAAAGTAAGTAGCCAAACTTTATACAAATAAATAAAGAAAAGCATTACCTTCCATAGAACAAGGCAACATGAGTAAGTGTAGATGCAATGGTGGCAAATCCAAATCCATACGTGAGAGCGAAGAACATGCTCAAGTGGATTCTTCCTTGAATATCATACTGTTCTTGATTCAGCTCAAACTTATTATTGACAATATTTGTAATGTTATATTCCTGACCTTGTGCAGTGAACAAGTCTGCCGAAAATATTGGAAATGTTTTGGCATTGTACACATTAAACCCCCAGTAAGAGATAGGAATGACTATATAAATGATCAAGGCATAGCCTACAAAGACATTGGCAATGGCAAAGAATGGGCAAATGAGAGGGCTAAACAAGAAGGATGCTACTGCTGACCAGTCCAGAGTGAGAGCTCCAAGTCCTAGACCACTAAAGCCTGAACCTAATTGGTGGGCAGTGACTGAGTTTGGAAATGCCCAGCACACCCATGAGATGCTTTGAAGTGTTTGGAAGAAGTAACCTGGGAACAAGTACCAGCAGAAACTACATGTTAGTGCAACCACAAAAAACTTTGACCGCGACATTCGCTGCTTCTTGTCATGTGTATGTGCAGCATCTTCCATGCCATCTTCATTTTCTTTTTCATGGAGGGCACTGCAACATTCAATCAAACATAAAAAATAATTTGTAATCTTTTATCTTTCTGTGAACATTTTTGAGAAAATTTCCCAAGGAAATAGCCAAATATACAAAACTAGAGGGGAATCTAATAGTACATTTAATCGAACAACAAAATAATTTTTATATGACCCAAGGGGTGATTTAAGTGATAATAGGGACGAATTGTAAACTCAAATGTCTTGAGTTTGAATCTTGACAATCTCTTGGGGCAATATTAGATTTAGAGTAATGTTAGATGGAATTAAAAAATAGACTTGATAATCTCAACCATTGAAGAGGTAGTGAGCCCCAATAAATGCTGAAACCCAAAGTGAAATCAATGGTTGAGATTATCAAGTCTAATTTTTAAGTCTATTTTTTAAGTCTATGTATCATTGCTCAAGAAGGAGCCAACTTTGGGAAACGGCATATTACAAGATTATAATGAGTGAATACTTGTGCTTGTTTTGGTTAAAATATCCTATTAAGAAAACGTGTAAAGTTCATAATTTATTTACTTACACTTTTTTTTTCTTAATAAAACAAGTTGAACTTTGTTCAACCGAAAAAAAAAGTATTTTGGTCATATTAGCAATATACGAAACTAGAGGGGCCAAGCTAATAATTTTCAAAAAACAATACAAAACTTAAGAGGAAAAAAATTAAATTTCAAAAAACTTAAGGTGGGTCATGGCTCCCGGTCATAAGGTGGCTCCGCCACTGCTCGCCGTTCCTACTTAATGGCTTCCACGTGCAGCTCACCATTGGTTTTGCAAATGTGGAAGCAACAGTTTCTAAATTGTGCCTTGAAAATTACAACTTTCCCCACAATACTTTTTGCAAAATGCAATACAACCCCATTTCCGCCCCCAACAATTTTTTTTTCCTAGTATTTCCACAGAATTGCAAGCATTTCTTTTTACAAAAAGGTCATTCTCAGTTTGAACGGACAATCTAAAGGCATCGAAAGAAGTATCGTAGTGAAAATTTAATTTTTAAGGGTGAAATTATAATTTTTCAAGATCTAAATTACAACTCAAAGTTACAATCGATCACAAAATATTATAATCAATCATGAAAAATATAATTTTCAAAAATCAACTTACACCTTTAAAAGTTATTCATGATTGATAATAATATTCTATAGTCGATCAATATATTTGTGATTGATCATGATTTTTGTAATCGATCACGGACAACCTCAATTAATTATTACTTGACACTTAATTATAATTTGTTTCTCAAAATTTTTTATTTCCAGTATGATGCGGAAGTTAAAATTTTTTCGTATAAAGTATACTAGCAAAATTTTAATAAATAATTAATATACAAATATCTATATAATAAAGTATCTTACAATTCAAATTTCAAAAGATAAACAAAATGATTTTTGCTATTCGCAGTTGAAATCGCTTTAAATTTTACTTTAAAGTTAATATAACGATTAATATTAACACCTTAAATTTAATAGGAAAAAAATCTCTAAACGTGTGTTTAGAGTGAATTTTTAAAAGTACTTCTAGAAATTACATATCATAAATACTTTTTAAAAAATAGAATTTGAAACCGACCATCCCTACCACCCCCACCACCGCCATTATTGTCATCGTCGCCACTACTTTCACTGCCTTCGCCGCCACCACCATCGCTGCCACCACCACTACCATCACTGTCTCCTACCACTACCATTGTCGTCTACCACCTTTCACCTCCATTACAAACCGATGCTTAAATTTTTTTATTTATTCTCTATATTTGTAATTTAATTTTGAATATAAATACAAATATGTTTACTGCCACCACCACCAGCACCACCATCGTTGCTGCCCTCGCCACCACCACCATCGCCATCGTCGCTATCACCACCATCGACGCCGCTACCACTACCACTGTCGTTGCTACCACTACGACCACGACCACCACCGCCGTCGCCACCACAACCATTACCACTATCACCACCGCCCCCACCGCCACTAGTACCACCACCGTCGCTGTCGTCACCAACACCACCATTGCCGCAGCCCTTGCCGCCACCACCGCCACTACAGTCATTGCCATCCACAACAACCATCACCGTCTCCTACCACCACCACTGTCGCCCCACCACCTCCCACCCCCACTACAAATCAATTCTTAAATTCTAGTTTTTCTCTTCTCTATGTTTGTAATTTGATTTTGAATATGAAGATAAATATATTTATTATTTTTTATTATTCTGTGCCTTCAGATACTGACAATAACTAGTATATATATATATATTAGCCGGATCAAAATTATATATATCTATATACTTTTCCGATTTAAAAATCAAAGAGAGAGACCACAGTTTGCCGTACAAGGACTTTAGTACTATACTAGAATACTACTAACCGGAAAAGTGAGATCTGGACGAGGGTGCTAGGCCACCACATGTGTGCCGGTTCAACCACGTACTTCCTTAGGAGGCCAGCCCAACCATATCCCAAAACCTGCCCACGGCCACATCATGCGCATGTTAGCATCGTTTGTTTAGTGAGATAATACTAAAAAATGCAATAGATAATTTTTAATGTGTTTGATTAGTATGAAATAAAAAATGTTGAAAAAATTATTTTTCTTATCACAATTAATTGACTTTTTTTTTTCTTACAAAAAACATAAAAAAAACAAAAAAAGTAGTAATGAATAACCTAACTTTCTATTTTATCCTTATTTTTTTTAAATATTCAATTAATTATTAATTTTAAAAACCTCGATATGTGTTAGGTTAACCATATAATATAATCTCGAGATTTTGGTTCAAGTCGATCCTTATCATAGAATTAGGTTATGAGTCAAATTTTTAAAATTATTAATTTTTAATTATAATACATATTTTTTTCTTATTTAAATCAAGTTATTATAATTAAGGATAATTTAAACAATTAAAAAAAATTATTATAACTTTTCTTTTTTCAAACAATAAAATAAAAATCTTTTAAAATTTTCTTGAAAGTTTTTTCTACTAACCAAATATATACGTGAAATTATATATTTTTTTATTTTATTTTATTTTTTATTATTTTCACTTTTCATCATCATTTTCTTTCTAGTTAAATGGACCTAAGATTGTTTTAATGCTCACCAACTTTCCTATTGAATTTTAAGATCGCAGGTTTTGAACTTGTTTAAGACAATCACGCTATAACCATAAAGTATGAATAAAGAGTTAACTAGAAACAGAAAGAATAAACCCAGTAACAAGAATTCAATATACATAAGGATTCTCTGTTTGGTTGCCAAGAAAGTAGCATTTTAATAATTTATGAGTCCTGATACTGATGACCAAACAACAATAAAACCATAATCCTAGTTTCACTAAAAACTTCTCCCACTTAAGTTAGAACAACGTTATTGTGACATAATTTACGGATATAATGAATTATCACTAATAAAATGATAATAAATTTATTTAATGTTACAATGGGACCCATCATTAAATAAAATTTATTATTATTTTATTAAAAACGCTTTATGATATCCCCAAATTATGTCACAATAACATTAGTGCTTAAAGTTAATTGTTTTTCGTGTGTTGGTGAAACCCAATGGGAACTATCAACCCAAAACTTCCGATGCCCAGAGTTTTGAACAAAATCTCAATCTGATAAATAGGCTCTGTTTGGCTGCCAAGAAAGTAACTATTCTGATGAAAACCAACACAAACCCAGCAACCCAAAACTTTTAATTTTGCTACTATTTTCTTCCATTTTCTCAGCAGCCAAACATAAGCTTTAAACAAAGAAAAAGAGAGATCAAAACCTGCGTAGTAATGATGAGAAGCCAACTAGCTATGAAAGAAATACTCCTCTCATAGAAGGCCTTAATGATATTAACAATCCCAACGGCATAAGCTGACCCACTCCCAAAAGCACTTCCGGCGTTAGCAAATATGGAAATAAGAACATGCTCCTTCATGTTAAACGGACCCGGATTAAGAGAGAACTTTCTTGACCCGAACCCCGGAAGGTGGAACTGGGCTGTGGGAAGCACAGCGGCCATGAACCGTCCGATTGGGAGTGTTGCCACCTGGACGGTGATCTGGGTTATGATGAGTGGCTCTCTGCGGTATGCGAAGAACTGGTTGAGGAATGAGAGGAGTACGCAGGAGAGTAGACCCAGGAACCACATTCGGAAGGTCCATACTGAGAGCGTCGGGTCGTCTGTGATGGGCACGGTTAGCCGGACTTCTTCTATTGGGGAGAGCTCGTCTTCGTCTATAGAATCATCTTCTGATATTTTCTTGGTCACTGTTTTTGGAGCTTCCACTTCCAAGGTTGCCATCAAGAGAGAGGAGAGAGGAGAAAGGAGAGAAGGGAATATGGCTTAGGCTATGTTTTTTTATAAGAGATTCATTGCATAGATATAATAACATAGTGTGAGAATAAGAAGCGGGAGAGGGGGGGAAGTGACGTAGGTAGGTCTGTATTTGGGTGAATCGCAATTTTTTGAGAGACAAATTGTAATTCACGCTTTGTATTTTGGTTTTTAGCAGCTTTGTTTTTGTGGTCTATTTGGATGAAATTACAAAGTTTGCCGCTGCTAAGGGTATCATGGCTTGGCTGGTAATTGACAAGAAACCTGTCCAAGGTGATTGTTTTTTTCGAATTATATTCTGTTGAAAAAGCATTAGTTGACAACATATCATTAGCTTTGACTATATAAAGAAAAATTTTATTTATATTTAATTTGGGGACTTTACTCATAGGCGACATACCGGGAGAACCAAGTGTTACACATTCTGACAAAATAAAAATAAAAATTGATCTATTAATTAGAGAAGGAAAATATTATTTAGATCTAAAAATTTAATATAATTTATTGACTTAGTGACGTAATTTCTTTGGAACTGTAGAAACAAAAAATTAGTGATACTTATACGTGTGAATTCGTAATATAATTTTTGGGAAAAAAGTTTAAACAATTTCCTAATCTTTTGTCTGTAAAACGAACAAATTGTTCAAGATTGAAGTGTTTCGATCGAAAACACTTCGATACTTAAGTCAGTAATGGAACATAAAGAATTGCACTAAGACTGAGAGCGTTCAGCGTACCTTTCACTTTGGTCTCTTCTGCTTTTTATAGATCGTTATCCCCTTAGGGTTTCCATGAATTTAGGTTCAATGTGACACACCTTCCTTCAATTCAGTTATTCAATTTGGGAAGTTGCTAATATTTCTCTAACAATTCCTCATGATATCTATAATTTCGTTAATTTGTTTATCTGATTGCTTAAGTTATAGGCGTATTTTTATCCTTCTGTTTATCTAAAATAGTTCAGATATATCAAATGTCGAACACACTTGATATTTGTCGAACAGATTAAGGGACTTAGTTTGGCACAAACTGATCTCTTCAATTGCCTTGCTGAATATTTTAACGGACTCGGCTTGGTACAAGCCGAGCTCTTTCATTGCTTAACTAAACAGACTGATGAGTTCGGTCATAAAGAGAATCGATCTTTTTCAGCTATTGTCGAACCTCTAATTAGCTCGGCTTAATTAGAAAACTCTAATAGAGGATCCTTCATCACGTGCTTGGTCTTATTAACATCACGTGAACACATTTAATGATATGTCACGTATAATCACGAGGTTTAATACCTTCAGAAATCATTGGATTAACATCAAGTTTTAATATTTGATAGAGCTCACAGTCAAGCCAAAGATCATAATGAATTAAAAGTCAATAAATTAGGTCAATAAATTAAGTTTCAATAGCATTACTCATAGAGTAATGCTAGATGGATTTAAAAATTAGACTTTATAATCTCAACCGTTGAATAGGTAATGAGTCCTAATAAATGCTGGGACCCACAGTAAAATCAATAGTTGAAATTATCAAGTCTAATTTTTAAGTTCGTAGCATTGCTCTTACTCGTTAGAGAAATTGTGAAATTTAACGTTGGATTCTAGTAAACACCGAAATGATATATTGGCTTGTCAATGTAGAAAATAAGAGGTTTTTGATACCTCGTGGTTGGTTAAATGCTATTCCTGGTTGTTTTCCCAAGCAATATTTCCTGCCAAGCACAAACGTCAGCTTTCAATTGTCTTTAATTGGGTTAATTTTACTTGGAACCCTGAAAGATTTCTAAATTCTCAATTTGCACCCTAAAAGTTTAATTTTTTTTCAATTACACCCTCAATCAGAAAATGTGTTGCAATCAGGCCCAATGGATAATTCTCTTTCCATTCTCTGTCTGTTTCACCCACTGGAAATCATAAGAAATATGGGTGAACTGTTTTGAAAGTCAAATTGCGAGAAAATTAGGTGGTTCATCAGATAAATGGTTGGATTTGATGCCCAAAACAGGTCTGTTTTGATCAATAAACTCTTCCTTATGTCACATGTTTTGCACATGGGGTAAAACACAAGACAAATGAGACGAGAATTATTTATTGGGCTTGATTGAAACACATTTGTTTGATTGGGGGTGAAATTTGGGAAAATTGAACTTTTAAGGTACAAATTAATAATTTTAGAATTTTTTAGGATGTAAAATGAGATTAACCCGCATTAATTAGTGTTTTTACATAGTCAGAGGTAAATTAGTGTTTTAACATATGTCATTTTGATTTCAATAAAAATTCTAAATAATATATTATTATGTCATTTGAGTTCTAAAGTTAATTTCAAAATTTGGTCAATAATAGCATTACTGTTTTCCTTTTATTACGCAAAGGGCAGCCCAATGTCATTGTTGGGAAGTACTAAGTAGACTATTTTACCTTGCACGAGTAGTTTGGTGATAAAACGGGTGTACCCAGTGTACGAAGATTCTGTTATTATTAGGTTTGAAAAAAGTTAGATGTACATAATTTTACCGCTACAAACAACGAATAGTTTAGTGATATAGTATTAAATTCAGCGTGAATTATATACTCACATGTCTTGGGTTCAATCGCTACAGCCGACTGTTGATTTGGATTAAATCGATTCTTACAGTTAGCATGTGATTGCATGCATTTGGTGTTTACTTTACAAAGATAGACCCAAAATAACCCTAGAAATTCTGTGTCACAAAGAAAGGAAAAGAAAAAAAAAAACAGAGATACTCCAAGTGCCCCAATTGAGCCACTCAAGATAGAGATAGGGTCAAAGAGTCACGGGCGCACACAGCACGATGACTCATGCTCTGATATGAATAACGAGCAGAGATCCATGGATAGAGTAGCAGAGATGACAGTCAAGTTCAACCAATGAAATCTATCATAAGAATTAGGAGAAATTTTTGTTGTGGGTTTAACAAGTCACGTGAAAGTATAAGGTGTTGTATATCACCAACAAAATATTTTACATTCCCGACCAATGATGGCCACCTATCAGTTTGTCAAAATTCTTTTTGAAAAAACTAACTTGTGTATCACACAAGCTAGTTTTGTGATAGTTCCTCAGTATGTGTTATGGTTTCTTCGTCGTTAGGGCTCAAAATCTTTCTTGCTAGCTCTTATGAACTCGGGTTTTTTTTTCCCCCGGTGCTTAGGTGTTAGAAGACACATCTCACAAGTCTTGTGATAAAGTGTGAGCCTTCTAACTCATTCGAAGGACAAAATAAACTCATTCGAAGGACAGAGTAACTCGACAGTAGAAATAGAGACATCTTCACGGCTTTTTATTTTTATTTTGTTATTATTAACCCACTGACACGAGCTGAGACGAGACTGCCAACTTGTGTTTAAATATATAAATATCAGAGTACTATTATTACATGAGTAGTTCATCTGATAGAGTACCATTGCATTTGATAGAATGCCATCTTTCAAATTGTACTAAGATGGATATTAGAATGAGTAAGTATTACAAAGACATTATTCAATTTTAAGGTTATTCCTAGAAAGGATAAATGGGGAAATATATATAGTTTCTGCAGCCAGGCTGCACAGAAAATCTGGTGAATTAAGAAAACTTTCGAAATCAAACAACTATGTTATATTTTGAATTTTCATATCTGGCCTTGAACTAATTTTGGTATAGATATCAAAAACAAAGATTCAACTAGTAGCTGACTCTAATACTCCGTTTGGTGGGAATGATAGAAAATAGAGAGAATAGAAAGTAGAAGGGATACCGTTTCTATTTTTCAAGAAAGAAAAGTAGGAATGATACACTTTTTTTCTTTTGTGTTTGGTTGGATGGATAAAAAATAAAAATAACTAAATTTTTTTTTTTTTGGATGTTGACTAAGATTAAGAGTGATAATCGAGTTGTATCGTGTCAGATTTATGCCGAATCATTACGGGTTTGTGTCGAATATTACTCACACCTAACTCAACTCATTTAACGAATTATGTCATATCGAGTTACGAGTTGACCTGTTTATTTTCGTGTTCGAGTTAATTAAGTTTATGTCATAAAATTCATGTCGAATTCGAGTCGTATCATCGTGTTAAGTCAAAAATTTTCACCCATAATTAATATTTTGTTAATTTTATTTTTAAATTTATATATATATATATATATATATATTTATATGAAATTAATGTATACATAATATATGTATATATAAAAATGTATATAGACAAATAAGAAATATATCAACACAAATAATTAACTTTATATCCACTTTCCTTCCGATTTTGGAGGAATTGATTTGGGTGAGTTGAAAAAAAAGTTAATCTATCAACTTTTCCATTCTTATTATTTTCCTTACCAAACATGATGTTTTATTGATTTTTCTAATTTTCTATCCTTCTATTTTTTCATCATATCAAACGGAGCATAAAACGTTAGGACAAGATTTTTTTGAATTTAGTATAACAAACTAATTCAAAGTTGGGCCAGCCAAAAGTAGTGACATACTATAATCAAGGCAAATTAAGTAGCCAAACACATATTTTAAGCTTTGCATTTCGTAAAACAACGCACCATGTGTAACTGTAGGTGAAGTTATATTCTTGACCCCTTTTTTTTTTTTTTTGCCTTTGCAGTCGGGGGTATTTGAGTCACTTTACGTTCATTTTTATTAATCTCTTTCTTAATCTGGCCAAAAGTAAGTCATTTACGTCAGGATTAGGGTATTCGTGAGAGATAAATTACTCATAATTTAACTTTAAAAAATTGTCAAAATTCAAATTCAAAATATCTAAATTTACAATTCGTCGTTATTACCGTTTCAACTATCCTTTCAGACCATATCATATTCTTGACCTTGTGCGGTGAACAAGTACGTCGAACAAGAAGGAAGCCACTGCTGACCAGTCTGAGGGCTCCATGGCCTAGACCACTAAAGCCTTAACCAATCTGGTGGGCAGTCACTGAGTTGATGCAATCTCAAAGAATTTCGCAAGCCACCTAAATTTGCTATTTGTTGCTATTGTTCGGGATTTTAATCGAATCGAATTTTGTGAATTACAGTTCGAGTTTATTGAACTCATTTTTCTAAATAAATTTTAAAAATTGTTCAAATTCGATTTGATTAGAACTCGAGCCGAGTCCGAGTCCACGCCAAACCCGAGTAGTTCGACTATTTTATATATAAATCATTCGAGTTTTGCGAGCTAGAATAAGTTTTAAACGAGTTTAAAAAATTATTTAAACTTAACTTGTTTAAAACACGAGTCGAACTCAAGTTAAGTCTTATCCAAGCCAAAGTCGAGCAGAATCGAGTAGCTCATCTTGATTAACATTCCAAGCTATTGTTATCAATATCTTCTTTGCCATCTTCATTTTCTCTTACATGGAGGGCCCCCGCAACATTCAATCAAACATAAAAAATCATTAATAATCTTTATCTTATGTGAACATATTTGGCCTCGCTTGCAGCGACGGAGCTAGAAATTTCCCAAGAAAGAGCAAACTTTTGAAAGAGATATATTATAAGACTAATATGTCGTCATATGAACAATCTACAAAAACTAGAGGGGCCCATCTAATAGTTTTTAATGAGAACAATACAAAACTTAAAAGGGTAAAAATGAATTTCAAAATAAAAAATTCTCAATCAGTGCCCAAGCATTTGATACATCACCATCGAACTGACATTCTCTACACTAAATTCTCTCAGATGACAGGATTTCACTAGAGTATAGTTAAAAAAATTTCGATATCATATCTCTAATATTTATTATTTACAAAGTCCTAAGTGCCGTGGAGTCTATCTATTAATATATATATATATATATATATATATATATATATATATATATATATATATGAAATATTTACAAAAACAATTACGAGAGTAACCTTGTACAACTAAATATTTACAACACTAATGTGAGCTATTAACCCTCGCAATTGATGCGGGGTTGGAAAGCATGTAGAGATTGGAAACCAACGAAGACACAATAATCAATTATAGATAGGGGAGTGTATGGACATCCGACCCCTTCGACAACAGAATAGCAGTAACTTGATCAAAAACATCTTTATACAATTGGAGACCAAAGTGAATCATGCCATTAAGGTAACGAAGTATTAACGGCAATGAAATGAGCTTGGCCAGGGGCATGCAGATGTTGACCTACTTGGTTGACTGCAAAGTTAATGTCTAGCCGAGGGCAGTGAGATATTAAAGATCACCGATAATCTATATAACAAAATACGTAGTAACTTGAATTTTTATTTTTTATATATTTTTTTCTTAAAAATATCACATCACTTATTTTTATTACATATTCAATCATTTAATATTTGATTAATTTATAGTTTAACATAATTTTTTTTTCGAACATTATCTATATACGATTATATATATAAAACGAAAAGAAACAAGGACTGTCTTCTAGAAAGTAAGGGGTTGGCCCAAAAAGAATGATTGGCCTTTTAGTCAATGTGAATGCACGCCAGGTAGGCCCAAAAAGTCTTCCAGATATTACGAGTCATAATCAAAGATAAGGACTCGACAGGTATGCTTTTATTTTTGTTGGAAGTTGATTGTAAAAATTTTCCTTTAATAAGTATTTTTTAAGTAACATCGACTTTATATTTTTAAATTTACGTTATTTTATTCAAATTTGTCTATTTCTTTTTAGTTTAAGTACATATATAATCATGCACCTATAAATATGTATAAGTAGATATGATGGTGCTGAAAATCTAGAAGTACAAAAAAAAGAGGTTAAAAAGCTCCCTGATAAAATAAATATGCAGATCATTCGGGATGTAGAGTGTGAATAAGTAAATTAATTATAAGAATCGACAAAGACCAGAGGTTCAGTGGTTCACCAGTTGAAAAGTTTGATTAGTTCACTCTTAATGGAGTTTCATAGTCTACTCTTAATGGAGTTTTATAGTCCACTCTTAATGGAGTCTTTTGCTCTTAGAATTTGTATTGCTCGGTGAGAAACAAGATGGTCACAGCTCTATGGTATACAATTGTTCATATCCGTCTTATAAGACAAGGGTTTGTTTATTTATATTATCTAATAGAGTGCTCCTCAAACAATGATGGGTGATCCCGTTAGTTTGTTACGATATTGAAAAAAATATTTGATCGTTAGAAATTATATTCCTCTAAAGATGACTTGACATTGTAGAAGTAAGTGACGTGTCATTAGTGACCTTATCCTTAGATGGAATCTAGTGTTAGGCTTTACTCTTCATCCCTCTTCTTCTTGTGGCACTTCAAACTAATCGAGCTCATTTGAAACGCTATTGAACTGGTTTCAACTGTGACCACATCGAGCTGCTTGTCCTCTCGTTCCCAAGTTGGTTGATTTTGTACTTCTAGTTAGTAGTTTTATTGCTACGTTGTGTATTTGCCTTCTGTGATGATTTTATTCTCGGTATCATCAACATATGTCACTTTCAAAATAATAACCAATTGCGTTTTTATTTTTGTGACAATTTATTATGTTTCTTAAATAAAATCATGTATAAAAATATTACTAGACGATACAAAAAACTTTTATCCCGTGGATTTGTAAAATCATACAATTTAAATGCGTCATTTGCCACACCATGATGAACACGATCAAAATTGATTAGTTTAGAACGAGGAAATATATTCAATGGGGTCGATAAGAGTGTCAAAATATCATACGTTCCATTAATACAATACAAAATTAAAGGGTTCGAACCTTTTTTAAATCACCCATTTTATAAATTAGTGAATTTGAGACAACGTGATTAATAAATAAATCGAATATGAGTATAACTAATAAAAAAAATACACAAATATTATTTATTTATATACCGATTATATTCGATTTATATATGATACAAATTCTACACGCTTAAATGTTTTTTCCCACAAACCTGTTGAGAGAGACTTGATACAAATTCTACACGATTACCAATTGACAGATTTAATTGACTATAGGGCCAATACCCTTGGGTGGTGTTTGGATAATTAGGAGAAGATTGGATGGAATTTGAATTCAAATCCAATCTAATTCAATGCAAATTAGTCCAGGTTGATTCACTCTTATCCCATTCTATCCTTGCTTTGGATGGAAAAAATTTATTTGTGGACCTCATTCACATTTCCAAGTAAAAGATGATAAAATGACTATTGCACCCTTTTATAAAAAATATATAATTCAATCTTGTATTAATTTTGGATGGGTATGGTGCCAAAAATTGTTTAGGATGAGTAGGTACTTGGAAATAGTCGGGTAATAAAAAGATGAAGTCCATAAAATAAATTGTACTGTTATTATACAACAAAATTCTGATTTAGTATTTTATTTTGTTTTTTAACACAACCTTCTACACAAATTTTTTTAATTTTTTTTAACTTTTGTTCAACACAATTTATCACAAAAAATATAAATGGACAGCAAAAGTAAATATCAAAAAAAAAAAAAATGTCATCGAAAAATCCTACTTACCAAAAAAAAGAGAGAATAATAGACAATCACATATATTAGATAAATTTCCCCAATTCACCACCGTTTTGCTATTTCCTCTTGCAATCCTAGCAAAAGGACATTGCAATTGTCTCCAAAATCAAATTGGCAGTATGAATTTCAAAACCAAGTTACCAAATAGTTGAAAACTAATTTTTCAGATTTCAATTTCATACTGTCAAATATAACTCCAGATCTGATCTACAGTTAATGTTGAATAAAAACTACAATTAAGACCTGTTCATCAACTTCTTAAACTCTTTGAAATTAATGCTACCGTCACCGTCGACGTCGACAGAACTGATCATCTTCCGGCAATCATTCAACGAGCAGCAACATAGTGTGCAACTCAATAACAGAGATGAAGTCGTTCTTGTCCTTATCATACATGTCAAAAGCGTCGTGAAAGCTCCTTCTTGTTGCCGTCTGAATCCGATCCTCACGGTGGAACTCGGTGAATTCTTTCAGATCAATGAAGTCGTCTCTGTCGGTGTCAATCTCGATCAATGTGCAATAGAGCTCGTCCGGCGACGTCTTGGAGCCTAGCCCATAAATTATTGCGCCTAAAGTAGACAAAAATTCTAGAAAAATCACTGTAGAGGATGTTTTAGTAATTTCACAATTAATCCTAGAGACTAATTTCTGAATCCCACACTTTCCGTGGGTTTCAACTATTCAGCTGAGAGAGAGGATTATGGGCTTCAAAAGCTGCGGAGAGTTATTGAATCACACTGAAAATCCCAACCCTTTTGATATACCAAAGCAAGGATATATGGGCCCTTCAAATTTAGCCCAATCCCATTTAGCCCAATCCCTCCAAATCCGGCGATCCAAACACCACCTTATTGAATAAGACATTATTCATAAGTTATTTCAACATTTCATTCCAAACAGCACACAGATGTATAATGAATGCGGTTCCGATGAAATCAAAGAACACCGACTTTGTGTCCTCCAAAGGCAGGCAGATGAGTCGTCTCAATCAAAAATCACACCTTGACCCACAACCAGCCCAGATAATTTTTTTGGTTTCGTATCATTAAAATTTATTATTTTAATATAAATATTTTTATAATTTTTATGAATAATTTTATAACCAAATAATAATTTATTATTTTTAGGGGTATTTTTATCACTATTATAAATTTTTTATCATGGTTATTATTTTTATATAATACAAAAAAATTATTATTTTTGTAAATAATTTATCACATTTGTGAGTGTTTATACCACTATTGTCATAAATATTTTTATCACTTTTCTTCGGTACAACAACAGTAATAAAGATACATACAAATGTGATAAATATCGATATGAGAATGTAATTTAACGGGAGAGAGAGAGAGAAAGAGAGAGAGAGAGAGAGTCAACACTATTCAGAGTTTCATTGTCATGATATTTGTTGAAGAGATTCTTCATGCACTAAAATGAGCATGAGTGTCATCTTGTACATCTCTGGTCTACAAAATGACTTTACACTCGCAATGTATGAAAACCATTACCTTAAGATTGTGACATATGAATAGTAGTCTCCAAACTCGTAGGCCAGCACTGCATTGAACACTTCATGAGCAGATAATGCTAGAAGACGAAATAAATGATAGAAACCACGTTGAAAATAATGATTATAATTATCAAGTTTAAGTTTATTTTTTAAATCCATAGAGCATTGCTCTTTTTTTTTTGGCTTGCTTCTATGGGTTGTCAGTAGACCGTAGGAATTTAGCTATAATATCAAATAATTATTTTCTTATTTAATAAAAATATAATATGTATAAAACGAGTTATCTTAGACCGCCGGACTCATGCAATGTGTTTGGATACTGGGTTAAGAAGGGTTTAACCACATTTGGATCGGATAAAGTTGCCGTGGTCTCGTAGGTCTCGTGTTTGAGAATTAAAAGTTAAACTGAAAATCCAACTCAAGTTTACCGAGACCGGGATTTGAGTGCTCTTTGTCCCTCCTACATGGGTCAAACGAAAATCATGTTCACAGCATAAAGCCTCCTTCCTTTTCAATTGAGTTTGTCGATCTCGTTTATTAAACGAATTTAAAAAATTATTTAAATTTGACTCGTTTAAAAAAAGAGTCGAACCTAAAATAAACCAAACTCGAGACAAGCTCAAGTAATTCCGATTATTTTTTATAAATAAGTCAAACTTTTTAAGCTTATTTTTTAAAGGAATTTAAAATTTTTTTAAAAATCAGCTCATTTAAAATACAAATAAAACTCGAGTTGAATCCTATCAACCCTACTTTTGAGAAACGAACGCAAAATAATCAAGCAAGAGTTAAATTGTATGTTTTTTATCGAATGATGGAATTAGACGAAATAACTTAATTGAGACAAAATTGAAAATTGAAGAACTAAATTGAGATATTTGAAAGTTTAAGGACCAAATTGAAACTTCTGACAAAATTTAGGGACGAATTATGATATTTACCCTAATATTTTTATCAATATACTATCAGAAGTACAATTGATGAACTTTTTGATTTAGTGAACAAAATCAATCGGGAGTAATCTACTTGAACTCTTTAACCAAAGCACAAAACAGAAGCTCAAACATATAATCGATTCACAGATAATAAAACATGGATCGATTCACAGATCATAAAACAAATTTGTTGATTGTCTTCTAGGAACACAAGAACACAGTCACCTCCCCAAAAAGTGAACACAGGAAGTTGATTATCTTCTAGGAAGTTATCTTTGGCCTGAAAAATGGATGATGTCTTTTTTGTTTGGGAAAAAAATAAGATCAATCCAAAACCCCACAAAGGCAGAAAGCTTCTCCGAATACATCAATGTTCTTGGTAAAGAGTGACATGAACACATTTAAACACAGAATGACATGAACACATTTAAACATGTTTCAAATTTAATCCCTTCTCATACTTTCTCAAAGTTAATTGAACAATAAGCCTAGGTCCAACATAAGTTGTACTCTTCTTTGAACGACTGCAACCCTTTTTATGCAATCCAAATTAAACATTAAGTTAACTAATCAACCTACATTACTATGTGTGATCAAATTACAATTTACAATATTATACAAAATCGAATTAGCAATTCTAATTTGGACCAATATAAATTCTCACACCAATTTCAATTCAAACAATTGCAACACCGTAAGAAAGAGAAAGCCAAAAGATAGTTAACTAAACCCAAATCAGAACTCTTTATAACACCCGAGCAACAATCAAGATGAAATACATACAAAACAACATGAGATAAAAAAAAATTGACGCAGGTTAAGTACTCTTAACAGTTAGAAGCCTGGTCATTCTTATTCTCAGCTGGTTAGTTTTTTGTAATTTCCTAAATGGTCTCCTATGTTTACTACGCCATCCTTTCGATATTAGAGATTTGGGTAGCAGCATCATTTGGGTAATAGAGATTTCAAGCTGATTGATAATAAACATGATCCATTTTAGATGCCTTTAATAAAGAAGGCACCAAAACTAACAATAATGCAACATAATCCCCCCTGCCATCATTCTAGCATTAATATTTGAAACCGACAGAGCTAATTCATTAGTATTTGAATTGGATGCAAAGAACCCGTACTTGAACGACTGAGCTAATTTCTCTTCTTTTTTGTCTTAACCATTTCTGTGAGAATGTATGTCAGGGGCATTTGATCAAACAGCTTGCAGGTTCACTACCATGGATGTTTCTTTCAATAAGCAACAATGCCACAATTATCAATAAGCAATTGACACAACAAAAACTATATATGTTAAATATAAATCCAAGGATGCATGCAATCAACCACAATTTCTTTGAGAAGTCACCAATAGAGCATGCAATCACTTAATAGTGAAACTCAGCTAAAATCAAAAGAAAGACAGATCACTTAAGGTTACGCTATAAAAGAAAGAGAGGCCACCAAAAAAAGCTCATCAAAACAGGTGAATGGAACTTGCTATACAAAAATGCAATACCCAAAATAAAAAAAAAAAAAAAAATTAAAGAAAGGACATAATATAAACGTACTGCCAGAGAAGAGTTCTTCAAAAATGCAATACCCAGTACAAAGAAGACAGATTCAAAGCTGCTCCAAAGAAACTCTCAATGACCCACAAAGAAGACAGAAGGGCGCTGTTGGGGCTGGGGCGCTTGAGGGGAGGGAGAAATAGAAAGAGGGGAGGGGATGGGGGGAGGGTGTTTGCGCAGGGAGCCGCCACCTATTGGCATGAATTTGGGGAGAGAGAGAGAGAGAGGACAGGGAGCCGTTGCTGGGTTGGGTTGGGTTAGGTTGGATGGGGATGGTTTTGGGGGAAAAAACATATTTAATTTTTCATTACCAAACAACTAAACAGACACCTTCTATACCCACTCTATTAATTACTAAGTCCACCCTATATTATATACACCCCATTTAATAAATAGGATTAATTACAAAATACTCCCTCCAACTCTCTCCGGTTTCAATTTCAACAATTTGCCCTCATAAATTCTTCCGTTAGTTATCCACCGTTAAAAATGACGGAAATGTGACAAAAATTTGTAATGTGATCTAAAATTCAATCAAAAATACAAAATTATCCCCATCTCATATTTTTGTTTAATAGAAAATCTCAAAAAAATCAATTCCTCACAAAAGTCGGCAAGTGTCCGTAAAACCGCTCCTCTGGTGAAAACCCAACCCATCCATCCTCCAGTAAAACCCCAAGCAATTGAACTTCACTAATCCGGCGAAATCCATCCCCAACTGAAACTCCCCCAAAAGTAATCTACCTCTACTAGGAAACAACCATCTGGAGAGAGAGAGAGTTTATATATACATGGACAGTTTACTAGTTGGCGAAAGAAAGAAAAGTCTTCAGGTGATGGAAATAAACATGGACTGAATTTTGATGGATTGTATTTGATTTTCCTGTGCTTGGTATGGAGGTAAGGGGCTGCCAAAGATAGGTAGAAAGGTTAGTGTTGGGTATGGAGGTGAAGCGTTGCTAGAGAGGGGTTAGTGGTATTGCTGTTAGGGAAGGCGGCCTGGGGGGCAGCCGGAGTTGGGGAAGGAGGCAGCCAGAGTTGGGAAAAAGGGTTTTTTACATTTCATCTATTCTGTCGATCAATTTAGTTGGACAAAAACTTTGAGGGGGCAAATTGTTGAAATTAAAATCGGAGGGAGTTAATTGCAACACGACTTAAACTTGGAAGGGACATTTTGTAATTAATCCTAATAAATAAATTGGCTTTATATTTTGTCATAATTATGATTTCATTCACTCTCTCCCACCTCAGGCACTAACAAAAAAAATTTTTTTCAGTGAGATACAAGTTAATATTATTTGGTATGTTTTGATATTTCTGTTAAGTTTAATAATTTTTTATTTAGAATTTATATGTGTGTGTGTATATATATATATGTATACTTTCAGATTATTTATTTATTTTTATCTTGTTAATATTTATACCTATGCTTGTTATTTTTTCTTATTTGATTTTGTGTCTATACTTGATGCTTATTTTTTTTTTAGTCTCGATTTTGTTTTTTTTTCCGTCGTAAATATATTTATGCATTCAGTTTTCAGACGGTCTCAGTTAACCAAGATACTGAACTTCAAAATTGAAATTGACTTGCCTTGATACTTATTTCGTCTCATGGTTACTACAATTCACTAAATTCTTAATGACCTAAGATCTAAGTACATCAATTCTAAACAGGGTGGATTCGCGATCTAGATCACCAAAATAGACGATTCCAAATTGTAATACTAACCCTAAATCAATTTATTTTTAAAATACATATTAATTGACTATATGTATATAGATTTATAATTATATATTATCAAGCACAACTATAAGATAAATGATAACTTAGTGTTTATGAATGTTCTATAATATATAATGGTGTATAATAGTGAAAACGATTTACATAAGAGTTCTAAAACGAATTGTGACCTAAAATACCGTACCAACTAAACCTACTTCTATCGTATCGCGTACGTAATAAAGTGTCGTATCATGTATACGAACCTATACTACATACCATAGCGTCCCACAAAATCAGGTACCAAGGTGGTGTCGTACCAGGTAACATTGTTTCGTCTTTTGGCGACAAAATCTCATAAAGCAACTCCCACATCTTGACCAACATCATTCTAAATTTGGTCAACAGTAGCCACCAAAAATCTAATTAAGCAACCCATTTTACTGTCGTGGAACCCCCCTGTGCACATGACCGATTTGTACAATGTTGTTTTTAGCATACATGTATATGTTTTGAAAGGAACAAATTGATACATAGGAAAATTTTTATTGTTGCTGATCAAAAAGAGCATAACATATACAACAGTAGCAAAGACAATTGAGTTTGAAAAAGCAGCCTATTTTAGCTAATAGACAATAAAGTTTTAGAACTTTAAACTAAAGGAAAACACACTATATAGCCAGAAATGAAGAAACAAATCAAATGCAGTACTATTGTAAAAAATTCCAACCTGAAATCATTTATTGGAGCCTGTCAACAACTCAAACAGCCCACAGCAGCTCTTCCAGGAAGTTGTTTGCACAGGTCTTAGAGCTGAATCTCCCAGAGGCTGTATATAATTTCGAAATGAATAAACAAACAACTATATGATAATGCATTCTGTTGCTCATTGCAGATTAGAGCAAAAATATGCCCCCTCCAAAAAAAAAAAAGAACAGATTAGGGCAATACCTGTATATCCGAGCATTCAGGAACCTCGGGATCTTTAAGATGTTCCGCACCATTACTGGTATCAGCTCCTGGAGCATTGTACCAACATTTTATCTTCATTCTCTTGTGCTGCAAGGCCCCTGGCATCCAAAGATGCTACAGCAATCCCATCTGATGTTGAAACGACTTCATTCTCCTCCAATGGGGGTAAGTTTTTCTCCCCATTTTCCTCTAACCCTGGCTCAACCACATCAGAAGCACTCTAATTTATGTGAGCCACCTCTCCTAATCATAGTTATTAGTATTGTACAATACGTCACGATACACCTAAAAAAGATACGTATCGTGTTTCTGTATCGTTTTGACACCATATTGTACGATATACGATACGATACGTCCGATACGTGACGATTTTGTTTTTTTTTTTTATTTTTGGTTTTTTGGGGCTGAAATGACATCTTTTTATCCTAAGACTTATTTTTAAATTACTAGCTAGTGAATCAACATCGTTTCAATGGTTATGGTTTAGAAAAAATAAATAAAGTCTATTTTAATGTTGTTCAATTGAATTTAAAATTCCTGATTAATATAGGTTGTTCAAGCATTGTCCACAACTGAATTACATTGTTTCCAACTGGAATGCAATGAGATACCACTTTGGACACAACATCAACAAAAGGGGCTGTTTCCACCAACGTTTTACCAGGATCTTTGGTCGCTTTGGTAAATGATACGGGTACACGATACAATGGAGGTAGGTTTAGTTGGTACAGTATTTTAGGTCGCAATTCGTTTTAGAACTCTTATCGTTTTCACTACTATACAATATTATATTCATAAACATCATATGCATGTAGTCAATTAATATGAATTTATATTTGTTCTATAAAGTAAATTGATTTAGGGTTAGTATTATAATTTGGGGTCGTCCAAATCGTGGATCGTTAAGGATTTAGTGAATTGTGGTAACCATGGTTTCCACCTCTACTGCTACTACTAGAGCTACTAGACGAGTGTTTCTCATGTGCAGCTCAGCACACTCAATCCTTATATCCTTGCTCTCAGATTCATGCGCAGACTTTACAAACCAGATTAACACATACCCATCAAGTATTTTGAGCCAAAAATAAATAGTATCAATCAGGAAAAGGAAGAATATGGTTCATAAAAAAGTATGTGTGCTTAAGTACTGGCGTTAAGCTTTTGAAATTAAGTAATTCTAAACAAAATTAAGCAACAAAACACACCAATACATCCCATTACACCACTTTCATCCACCCACACTAATACATAGTTACACTATTGTTTTTTTAAGTTCATCTAGCATTACTAATACATAGTTACACTGATGAATGCATTACGTCTTAAATTCAAAGATAGATTTATTACAATTGGGTATATAAATTTGATATTGAATAAAAGCCAAAACTAATAAAACTCATAGTGACTCAAGCCAAGCAAGAGATATTAATACCTACCCATAGATGTTCAAACCTAGTTACACAAAACATAACTACAAAAGACTGTTTTTCCATCATTCCGTAAACAAAATTATAGTCATTTATCATAACTAATACAATCACCATCAAACTTGCGTTGACTATCATTTTCAACAACCCTTGGATCATCCTAGTCTCAGCTAAAATTCTTGAAAAAAAATAAAATAAGACTTCAAGCGCTTGTTCCAGCCATCTCCTTCACGATTTCAGCCAATTGGTCGAGCAGCCCTCTATTCCCTTCCACAGAAGAATCATTACCATTGTCCTCTCCTCCATTACTCTTACGCTGACCTCCATATTACCCTTCCCGTTTTTACCATTCGATTTTTCGATACAACAATGGTGCGCTGCTCACAAGATGTTAATTGAACAAGTTAATGAATGTTGGCAATTCCCTATCTTGCTTTTATAAATAAACTTATGTATCATCTGCGGAAGTAGAGACAAAAATGTGTAGACATACAATTATATTTTTTTGTTAGCTTTGTTCATCTCTTCTTGTAGACATTTTAGGTAAGTTTTTGATATGTGGAGTTCATTTTACAATTATTTAAGCTATGAATATTGTGAAAATTTGCTTGCACAATGAAATGAGTGCTCAATAATAAATCACTTATAGCTTGAGTGTATATAGAAATTTTTTTTTTAATGGTACTGATAATGAAATTTTAAAGTAAAGCTTTTTAAGTATAAAGACACATCGAGCTCAATTGTTAATTATTTTACAATTAGCCTATTTTTTGTGAGGTTCTAATTAATCACTTTTTTTTTGTTTATATACGCGTATATCGATGTTTGACCCTTTTGTATTTAATGTATATTAATAACCAAATATAATATAATAATGTAATCATATTGTTTTACTTTTATTGATTGCAAGAAAAAAAATTAAAAGTTTTAGTTAGGATGCCCACCCAAAACAAAATTTTTGGCTCCGCCATTGCATGTATATATGGCTACTCATAAGGTACCTAGTCTCAATAAAGAAAAAGAATAGTTATTATTTTTGATATGTTACTAGGTGTCGTCGGCTTTGTAGGAAGAGAACAAGATTCATATTACTAATGAAAGTTTGCATTGTGTCAAGCACATAGGGAAGTAATGACAAATATCAACATTAAGATACTATGTTTTATTAACAATGCAGGCTAAGAAAAAAAAAAGAGTACTTATAAAAATAGAGCTACAACCATAGTTAAAAAAGGTTATGAACAATAAATTTTTCCTTGTAACTGACAATAATGTACACAACCAATAAATTTTTTCCTTGTAAAGTGCCATATTTTTTGTTGTAAATCTTAAACGACGGTCTTATTAAAGTGCAAATTGTCAAAATTCTTAATTTTGCAAAAACCAAAAAACCAAAACATTTCAAGTAAGTGAATTAGTTATTTATTTCAACCAAATAAGTTGAAATTGAGTGCGTTCAAACCGTTGAGAGATGGTGTGATGATCGGGAGAATGTGTGGGGGATAAAGATTTATACCTTCTCAAGATCAAGAAATCAATATGACACCACCATGCTCATTTGACCTACAAATGAGATGGCAAAAACTCAGAATCTACCAAATAACTCAAAATCATATTTCACCCAAATAAAATAGCAAACAAAAAGAAAAGAAGATGAATAGGAAAGGTGAAAAATAGGTAATCCTACCTATCGAATTAGCCTAGTTGAGACCAATTAACACTAACCTCTTGTAAGCTCTTATACAACCATTAGGTCAATACCTCATAAATTAGTGGAGGCTTAAAATTTTCTAACCAATGCCTAAAGATTTAGACAAAGAAATGAGATGGCAAAAAAAGGTTGTTAATCATCACACCCACTAATCATCATCAAACATGTTTTCAAACATTTTGTGAGCAAGCTCCAAATTATTGACAGTACATACAAACAGAGATTAAATTAAAACTCAATTGAACATTAAAAATGACTACTTTTTTTTTCTCTTTAAACTTTCTAGTTTTTTGGTTCTAAAATTTAATTTTCAGAACCTATAGCTCTTTTGACTGGTGAAGTTCAAAAAGTGAGTTATCGTTTTTTAGACAAATCATGCCTATTGCTTCATAATCTCAGGTGCTAAAATTACTCATTGAGGCAAAACAACAAAGAGATTGACATCAAGCATTTAAACTGGCCTTTCAACCTAAAAACCTTTAAAGTCCACAGCCCAAACCAATTTTGTGCACCTTAAACAACAATCCTATACAAAGCAAAGTGGATCAATTACGTACCTGAACTTTGGAACCTGTATTCAGCTAAAGGAACCATTTCAGGCCACTTTGGAACCTGTATAAAACAATCAAAATCCAAGGAATTATGCAAAAAACAAACAACCCATAACCCACATAAAACTCATTCACCTGTAGCTTTTTATCAAAAAAAGGTGAACTTGTATCCTGAATAAACTAAGCAAAACAAATTCAATCATTTAAAGAATAAACTAAGCAGAAAAAATTCAATCATTTAAAGAACTATATAAAAGCAAAACAGAAGACCATTCATAGTTTGGTAAAGGTGGCTGCTAACTGGATATGAATATACCAAGCACTAACCCCTGAATAATCCTACAACTTACCGCACATGTCATTATCAGGTCATAAGTTATGCAATATACATTTAACCAATAATTAAGTTCCAGCTATTTGTTGATGAAGCAATACCTTTGATTCCCACCTGAAAATGAACACCTGTTTTAAACCTCACAACCCTTCAACCCAAAACCCCAATTGTGTGTTGTGTGCGTGTGGAACAAAATGTAAGTATTTTTCTTAGGCATTTTGACGAACACTTCATGTACATTACAAAGGGATGAGGAAAAAGAGAGTTCATAGGAGTTGTGTTGGGGCTGGGCTGGTAGAAGGGCAGAGAGAGAAGCTGTTGGGGCTAGGCTTCTACAATCTGATTGCTCAAATGATCATTTATAGGCAAAAAATAATTTTTATTTTACCATAAAAATAATATTGGGTTCCACGGTGTCTGTACAACAAGTTAATGGAGACAAGCTACAAAAGCAGACCTGTAAGCAACCCCATGAGCTGAGAGCTGATCACAGATTTTCAAGTTCTTCTTCTCCGGTGCGCAACGAAGATTTGAGACACCCGATATCAATAACCGGCATATTCATCAGTGAAAGGGAGGCATCAGTGTTGGGGCTAGCCTGGCGGTGGTGAATTGGTGGCGCTGGCAGATGTCTAGCCCGAGAGAGAGAGGAGGTGGTGATTGAGCGGAGAGAAAACAGAAAGAGGGAGGGGAGGGGATGGTGTTTGCGCAGAAGAGGGACTATGGGTGGAGGGTGTTTGTAGAGGGAACTCGCCGCTGTCTGTCTGACATAAGGTGTGTGAGAAGTGAAGAGACTGACACGACAGAGAGAGGACATCAGGGTTGGTCTGTGTTTCGCAGGGAGTTTTGCAGGGAGCCGTTGTTTTGAGTTGGGTTAAGTTGAATTGGGTGTGAATGGTTGGGTTGGGTTGGGTTGGATGGGTCAATTTTGAGGGGAAAAATATAGTAGGGTTAAAATTCAATTGTCATCCAGTTTTTTTATATAATACAAGTAATTCGTGCTTGAAAATATGGTGTAACATAAATTAATCAATTAATTTGAAAAAATAAGAAGTAAAGATTCCTAAGAGTAGTGACAGAGT